TTGCCATCTCCATCTTTTGGAGTATCCACCATATATATGTCATATGATGAGGTGGCCTTCCAGCGCCCTACAGGTGCTGGTTCCTGTTTGTCTCCTACATCGTCGTCCATGCCGTCGATGTCTTCGGAGCCGAAGTCAAGCATGTCGGTTAGATCGTCGACAGTGGCTACAAAGTGGGTGGTGGGTGGGCTTTGAATTTCCTCATCGTCTGTATCCCACCCTCGCTGACCGTAGTCCGGCCAGGGCTCTCCTGATAAAGAGAGAGACTTAAGAGAATTCAGGATGTCGCCAAAAGGCGAATGCTGAAAGATGTCTGCGGCGGTGAACACCATTATCGGCGCCCAATCGGATTCGATTGGCAGGGGCGCGGGGGGTTCGGAGTCCGGGGAGGAGTCCGGATCTTCGGAGTCACGGGTCGTGCAGAGTGCGGGGCTAGCGGTCGGCTCGATCGCTTTCGGGATCGCAGCCCCCGAGGTGACGTCCAACCGCTCATCCTCGATTGGCGCAATAGGCTCCGAGTTAGGGGTCGGAACCAATGCGTGTGCGGCCTCCAGGACACTGTCCGGGGGCAGAGCTAGATCATGCCCCTCGAGATAGTGCGGCGCGCTTGGCCGTGGCTCGAGCCCGTCGAAGATCAAGTCTCCGTGGATGTCAGTCGTGTAGTTTAAGCTTCCAAACCTGACTTGATGGCCAGGGGCGTAGCTTTCGATCTGCTCCAGGTGGCCGAGCGAATTGGCCCGTAGAGCGAAGCCGCCGAAGACGAAGATCTGTCCGGGGAGAAAAGTCTCACCCTGGACCGCATCGTTGTTGATGATCAAAGGAGCCATTGGGCCTAAAGGCGACGACACAGAGGAACTCTCAATGAAAGCACCAATGTCGGTGTCAAAACTGGCGGATCTCGGGTAGTGGGTCCCGAACTATGCGTCTAGGCCAGATGGTAACAGGAGGCAGGGAACACGATGTTTTACCCAGGTTCGGGCCCTCTCGATGGAGGTAAAACCCTATGTCCTGCTTGATTAATATTGATGATATGGGTAGTACAAGAGTAGATCTACCACGAGATCAAGGAGGCTAAACCCTAGAAGCTAGCCTATGGTATAATTGTTGTATATGGAGTTGATTGCCTACGGACTACAACCCTCCGGTTTATATAGACACCGGATAGGGTTAGGGTTACATAGAGTCGGTTACAATGGTAGGAGATCTTGAATATCCGCATTGCCAAGCTTGCCTTCCACGCCAAGGAAAGTCCCATCCGGACACGGGACGAAGTCTTCAATCTTGTATCTTCATAGTCCAGGAGTCCGGCTGAAGGTATAGTCCGTCTACCCAAGCACCCCCTAATCCAGGACTCCCTCAATGACCCTCACATTGTTGATGCTGGGCCAAGGCGGCATCTGGAGGCGTGTTTTGTGAGGATTGCATGAAGAGAGAGACTTCTTGCAATCCGCCTTAAGATGTTCCTGCTCCAGCAAATCAGGAATCAACTCATCACACTCATAGCCTGAGTGATACTGTTGAGCTAGCAATCCTCTGTCGTCATAGGCACTGGTACTGAGAATCGAGAGAGGGTTATCATCCTCGTCCATGACATCATCCATTTCTTCTTCGACAGGGGCGACATCATCAGCAACTAATGGACCCTCGTCCTCACGTTGTCCCCTATCACCCTGCATGACATGCACCGCTAATTGGGTAGGTGGGGTGGTGTTCATACCTTGTTGTGCTCCCATCCGCCTCCACATGAAGGAGACTCTTTGGCTACAACAGCATCCAACTCTTGCAATCGCCAAGCCACGGTAGGGTCTCGTCGTCATCTCCCCTAGTGCCACCGAAAGATCCAAACTCTCGTGGCCCTCTTTCAAACTGGCCAAGGAAACCTTTAGGAAGCCAGACGGCATCAGCGGCCGTGGAACGAGCATTCCTTCAGCTTTACTATCGTTGTCTTTTCCACCTTCACCTTCTAGCCGCTGATGGTGTATGGTATGGTGCATGGGGTTGTGTCGGCCTGCGGAGACATGTCTGCCATGTCAGACATTTGAAAGGTAACGGAAATGGAAGATTATAAATATGCTGAAGCGGGTCGTTGTGATGTAGTTACCGTGAGGACATCGAGCTCGGCCAAAGACGAAGCCCCGTCGAGCACGCCAAAGATGGAGGACGGGCTAGTATGAGCAGGTGCGATTGCATGAGCAGGTGCTGGTGTGATGTTCTTCGAGTTGCTCCCGACGATGCTGGGAAGGGGCCGCCCTCTGCCACCTCGTGCCGCACGCCGCCAACTACGAGCCAGATCCTGGTCGATCTGGCCAGACTCGCGCTAGCATGCCTCCGCCCGAAGAAGTTCCTCGCGCAGCCGCCGCACCGCAGACCCCCGCCATGCTCGCCGGTGCGCTACCATCTGGTTCCCTTGCCGCCGAACAGAATGTCCGCCGCTGCACCGTAGGGCCCCGCCACAGCCCGCGCCACTGCTCGACCGGCCGTCTTGCGCCAACCATGGAGCACGAGCGGAGGGGAAGAATAGGCCCCGCCGCCGCTACTGCCGGCTAGGCTTCGCCCGGCGGCGTCATTGGGCGGCGGCGGGAGGGGAGGGCGGCGGAGGGAGGGTCGGAGGTGCGATGTTTAGGGTTCCCGGCATAGGAGGGGAGGAGGAGCTGCCCAAACCCATATTTACGGCCTGTATATATAGAGAGTCACCCATGACTTACTACAATTTCAATATTAATGTCGCTACTAGCATTTTACTAGCTTAGCCCGCGCGACGCCATGTTGCGCCTATCGGTAAGTCGCAACTATATAGACCGTAGTTAGAACGGTAGAATTATAAACAATTATGAGATAAACAGAATATGCATTGCAACTTTATGTGTATCCTTTTCTATTTGGTAAAGAAAAACAGATCAATATATATGAAATTTTAAGCCACCCTACATAGTTGGATGTGTATACGATGACACAACCGTACTGCAATAAGAAATCGCAACTGATTTTCCCTGAATTAGATCATATTGGTATAGCCTCCTATAGGATTAGTTCCAATAATAAAGTGGTACAAATCTTTTGCAAATTCTTAGACATGTCTGACATTGTAGTTTTGCTCAAATCATTGTTTGCCTTGTGAATTCATTCTGCTGAGTAGCTACTTGCTGGCAAGCCATGTTGAATTGCCATTGCTTGTTGGTCCACACCTTTTCTTGTGCTATAAATAGTCTTTCTTTTGTGACTTCAAGTGCATAGTGAAAACCTTTTCTTTGGCTTCGTCTTCTGTTTCGGCTGGTTCTCCTTGAAACGTCATCGAAGATTCTTACGATACGTTTTGTTTATATGTAATAGTGTTTTTAATGTTTATTATAAGACTTAATTTAAAGCAAGAGAATTAGTATGTGGAATTATGGGCACAAAAAGAGAAGCTATAGAAAACACTTCTTTTCTGTGGGGTTAACGGCAAACATGCCACGTGGCAGCTACCTGTGCTTCTTGGGACTGGCATGTTTGAGAACTTTGCCGTCCACCAGCGGACGGCAAAGACCTTAGCCTCTTTGTCGTCCGCTGGCTAACGGCGAAGCATGCCGTTAACCCCTAACGGCTCTCACCCCACCTCACTGCCTTCCACAACCTTTGTCGTCTGCTGGCCACCAACGGCGGACGGTGCAATCCTTTGCCGTCCGTTTCCAGGAAGCGAACGGCAAAGAAGGCCTTTGCTGGCACATGTTCGGGCGGACAGTTTGCCGTCTGCTGGCGTACGGCAAAAAACTTTGCCGTTCTGTGATCCATCCCTTTGTTGTCCGCCATGTAGTGATTAAAGGGGCTTCATTGCTGAACTTCGAGGGAGATTCTTCATACAAAGTTGTGGTATATTAGCATGATCCGATCTGATCCATAGCTAGCGTCGTATGCCCTTCAGCACGACCAAAAGAAACTAATTTATGACTTACAACATTTTGGTTCCTACTAACATGAACAATAATAGAACTATCCCTCTCACCAAGACGCTTCCTAACTTCATTCATCAACATTGCATTCAACGATCAATCCGGGGGACTGTGCCTGCATAGAGAGCATCACAGCTTTACAGTCCATCTCAACATCATTTGGCAGTGTAGAACATAGCAATGCAAAGTTTGGCCCCTCCAAACATGCTCTAACTCCGCTTGCACTGGGTTCACACAACGCAATATGTTTCTGCACGCCGAGAAGATTATGCCACCAGTATTGTCTGGTAGAATCATCCCACGCATGCTTCACCCGTCTCCTTGATATATGTCCCATCTATGTTAAGATTAACATGGCCATGAGCAGCGGGGTCCTTCTAGCGGCGCATTATCTGGCCTCACATAAGATGAGATGGTGGGCGTCCATCAAAATCCATTTCACTATGTTTGGATGTAGACATTGAAGACCTTGGTATTGCATTGGCTCCAATGCCTAATATCCCAAGGCACTGGTATTGACCTGCAATGTCACACTTTGTGTTTGGATGTTCTTGTATTGGGCACTAAGGGACGGAGCAATGCCAAATCTTGTTTGTATGCCCATAGTGTAGAATTCGACATTGTGAAGTGTATGAACAATATAATAATTGCTTGTACAAGTTTCGAAATGAAATCTGATCGTCATGCCATATACTTGAGATTATGTATTATAATACAATAAAATCGCATGCAAATAATTTAAAAATTGGTATAAGCAACATCAATTGTCCAAAATACATGAAAAATAGGCTGAAAGGTGTAGATAGGCAACAAGACCATATAATCATGCATTCGACAATATGAACTATTCAAAAGCGTGAAAAATAGGCTCAAAACTATAGGTAGCAGCAACATATTATGATAGCCTTGCCAACACCATTACACATTATAACATGTCTCACACCATCCAGAACACATAACAAGTCTTATGCATCAACCATGCAACTTTAGGACAAGTTCAAAAGTCTCACACACACTAGGAGAACTAAAAGTAGGAGTACACATACATATTATCCATCAAGAGCCATTCTACTATTCCAACATCAACAACCATTCCTTCCTGAAGTTCATGGGAAGCTCAAGAAGCGCTTGGTACAAGCGTTCTCTAAGGATCAACTTACCATAAGATCGCAATATGTCACCACGAGCCAAATCAAGGATCATCTCAAGTGTCGCGAGGATTTCAGCAGGAGGTGTAACTTGGGGCAGAGGTAAAGGCTCAAGTGACTTCAAAGCATCATTAAATGAGCCTTTCATATCCCCAAGTAGGCACAGGATGGCATCACCGGTCCGCTGTTTTTTGTGTGGCACTTCGGGAGAGGCTTCATTGGGTTCCATAGTTGGTTCTACAACAGTTTCAGCACCTGTGACAGCACCTTCGCCATTTGCATGATCTTTTGAGTATATGGTGGTGATAGCATCCCAATTTTTAATGACCTTGTTCTTGTAAAATCCCACTTTCTGGTTAGCCTGCACACACACACACACAAAGAGAGAATTATCAAAGAAAGGTATATCTTACATATGTGCAATACAATTAAAATGTGGAACCGATAAATTTCTTACCGCGACATATTTAATCCACACATCTTCACTATCAATTGACAGCTTGTTATTGATCCAATCCCACCCAAATCCACTTTGAGAAAGCATCTTGCTAATGGCCTCATAGTGCTTTTCAAAGGTTTTGCACCTTGAACTTATGTTTTCCTTTGTGATGGTCACATTGCACTTCTCACACACATTACCTATAACAGCACTGTAGACATGGGACTTCCATCCATTCTGGGCATGATCACCATTGTTGTGATGCTCAACAAGGGCCTCCAGTAGTGCAATGTCCATTTCATCTATCCATGTGAGGTAATTTCTACGAAATTTTTTTCCACCTTCTTCAGCCATGGTCCTACAAGAAAATGCATGCACATAATATCCAAACACAAAGACAACGTAAGATGCATGTAAATTGAAACACGAAGACAGCAAGGTAATATCACATATATATATATATATATATATATATATATATATATATATATATATATTACATTAATTTCTTAATATGAGGCAAGTACAAAATACCCAAAAGGTACCATTAGCAAGCTAGGCTATCACACAAGCAAAGTCCATGCAGTGCTGACCCACACATCCTAGGAAAGCCATATCAAGTAGCTAGCACAAAAGAGAACGTACACCATTATCTAGTTGACCCACACATCCTACTCCAACTCTAGTTCAGCATGTCTCACAAGGTACTCATCAAACATGTCATTAGCTAGCTGCTCTCTAAAGTTGGTCCATGCAGTGCTGAGTTGAACACTCGTAATTAAGTTGGCATCATATATTGGACCATCTTTAGAAGAGGCTATTTCATTATCCACTTCCACCAGCAACAAATCATCCATCACATGTTGCCTATCCCTTGCAAAGTTGTGTAACACACAACAAGCATTAATAATTCGAACCTGCAATAATATTTGTTTATCGTAAGCATTTTCCTTTTAGTTTGCTTCTTATTCACCACCTTATGGACACATCATACCTGGTCCTTTATGTCAAAGAAAGATTGACAACGTAGGAAAGCCCACTTTTTCTTCCACAACCCAAATGTTCTCTTGACTACATTTCTAGCTCGGGAATAACGCAAGTTATGCAGCTCTTTAGGAGTTTGGGGCTGTTGTTGACTTGATACCCACTCTTTTAAGTGATATCGAGTCGATCTGAATGGAGCAAGAAATCCAGGACCGTTGGTGTAACCAGCATCAACTAAATAATATTTCCGTAGTGTGGAAAGCAAGTGAGTTAGCTATCAATTACATAGGAGAAATGAATTACCAAGAGAAAGTGGCATACCATGTGGTACGACAAATGCATCTTCGTGGCTCAACCTCATTGCATCACGCAAGACTCTTGAGTCAGAAGCTGAACCCTCCCAGCTAGGCAAGACATACATAAATTTCATATTCCAATCAACCACACCAAGCATGTTAGTGGTGATAGCTTGCTTCCTCTTCCTATATCTCCCTTGGTCACACACAAGCACACAAACATCAACATGACACCCATCGATCGCTCCAAGTGCATTACCAAACCACTTCCATTTGTAATCATGAGGTGGCTGAGTAGAAGGATCGGGAAGCTTAATGAACTCCCCGGTTAGAGATAGAATCACTGTTAATACATCGTCAAAGTGTGTACTAATAGTCCATAAGGAGCGCTTGGAAGTGCCACCCAGAATCCTCATTTTGATACCATGGCCAACTACCAACAAGAACATTGCCACCTTTTCTTCCATGGAAACATACACACTGTCCCAAAGACCAGCCCTCTCACGCAACATGGTGCATAAGTCATGGAAGTTTCTTTTAGTTAAACATAGCTGATCATAGCATGTTACTTCTGCCCCATCATACAATCCTTTTAGCAAATACTTCTGATGAATGTTTTTTTCCTCATCGTCAGTAAAGCTTCCTAAATCCCTTGGTGCCCTCTGTGTACTAAGATATGCTATCCCAAGAAAAAACGATTCAAAGTACAGTTTGGTCAAAACTATTCGCCTGCTCTTTCTTCTTTTGTTCTCCTCGTTTATGTAAGCAACCAAGTCCAAGTCAGACATGGTGTAACTACATTACATTTCATAAATTAGACATGAATGCCTCATTCAATTAGTCATGAAAGACAAGTCATCAAAAATTTAGCAAGCAAGATATCAATTAGCGGGAGACAAGCAATCAAGCAAGCTATCAATCATTCATATATGAATAGCTATAAGCAAGATACCGTGCAACAAGCTATCTAAAATTATGCCAAAACAAGCAATCAATCAGCCATGAAAGACGATCATTCAGTCATATGCTGCAGCTAAGACTGCTGTACTAATGTGTGCTACAACTAGTTATCAAAATTTCAGCAAGCATTCAGTCATATAAGACATGGTACAAGAAGCCTTCACTATGAGGTATACTGATTTTCTCTCTACATCATATGAAGGCATGACCAAACTGAAAATATTTGTTCCTTGTGAAAAGCACAAATTACTGATTAATATACCTTCAGTCAGCCCAGGGATGTGCCAAACCAAGCCAAATAACCTGCAAAATTAAATTAAGAGAGACAATTAGTAAGCTAGTATCTTAGCATGCAGAAGTTGGATGTATGCAAAGGGAAAGACAACGATTGACGGGCAGAGGGGCGACCATGGGGCAGAGGGAGGGACAACCAATGGGGAACAAAGAGGGGAGGCCATGTGATCTGACCGGGAGGGAGGGCTATGGGATTAGGGATGGGTCAGAGAGAAAGAAGAGGGATTTGTGTGGGAGAGGAACAAGGCTGGGAGAGGGCCGTTCAGGGGATGGCTGACCGGCGCCGGGGGTGCAGGGGACAGAGGCGGGTAGGAGATTGGGGAGGATTGGGGTCGCGAGGGGGGGTGTGAACCATAGGGAGAAGGCCTGCTAGATTCAGATTTAGAGGAGAAGAAGGAGGGCGACGGGGATGGAGGAGACCTACCGGAGACGGGGGAGAAGGCGGACGGCGGCGAGAGATGAGCGCCGCTTCTCCTTGCTCCGCGCGCCTGCTCTGTTTTTTTGTTTTGTTTTGGGGAAGGGACAGAGAGGTAAAGGGAGCGGGGTTGGGCAATTTCACCCGAAAACCGAGCGGGGAGGTGAGGAATTCGCGCAGGGACTCGCTAGTCTTGGCGGGCTATGTCAAATATCGGGTTGTAATTCCGCACCGAATACTAAAGACATCCAAACACTGGCATTCGGTAGTTACAAATGCCCAATGTCAATACTACCTCTCAATGCGTACATCCAAACATAGCGTTTGGGTTTTTGCTTTTAAAACAATCACCTAAAGTAGGGTACTTGATACTAATTAGAAAATTCGCATAGAGATTGACCATAATGCAAATCATTCTAAATTGTCAGGCCACATTCAAAAGCATGAAAGGGACTTTGTCTGCATCATTCTAAATTGTTAGATTTTCCGTCCCTCAACACAATTTAGGTCTGATTTACAGCTGAGTTTGCAAGGTGCATGTCCAAAAGACCGAAGAGAACAAAGAGGAGACAGTTCACCCGGAGGTTCATCACCTTCTCCTCATCCACCTCCCCCACACCGGCCTAATAGTCTCCGCCGACTCGGCCTAAAAGCGCATCGTCATCCTCCCACGCTTCCTTGCCACGATAGCGTCCTCCCTAGCCCATCATCAAGTCACAGTGCAGGGCACAGCCAACGCCATGGTCTGCACGAGGAACAAGGCCTGCAGTAGCGCCACCTCCAGGAGCACACTGGTAGAAAAAGGGCATGTTGTCCCGGTTCGTAAGGGCCTTTTGTCCTGGTTCTGGAACCGGGACTAAAGGGTCGGTACTAATGCCCTGTCCCTTTAGTCCCGGTTCAATCCAGAACCGGGACAGATGGGCCTCCACGTGTCCTGTGCGCAGAGCCCAGGCAGGAGACCCTTTGGTCCTGGTTGGTGGCACCAACCGAGACTAATAGGCATCCACGCGTCAGCATTTCTGTGGCTGGGGTTTTTGTTTTTTTTGAAAGGGGGGTGTTTGGGGGTTTTGGGGGGTTAATTTAGGTGTTTCATATATTGTGTTAGCTAGCTATAATTAATAGAGAGAAGTGTCCTCTCTTATGTCCGTGCTTGGTCGACGCTACGTACTATACATACGTATACAGAGGACTAGACACGCTAGCTAGCTAGTAAGCAAACGAAGGAAACAGAAGATCGTCGTGAACATATATGCATACAGACATAAGTGATATCGACCACCTCTCCTTCTCCGAGAGATTGGTCGAACAACAATTTCTCGTATATCTATGCGACACTACCGGCTACATATACACAATAATTATCTCATACAAATATAATCATACGGACTCAGGGTCCACATAGTATTCTCCGTCTTCAGCGATCACGTGGTCAAGAAAGAATGCCGCCAATTCCTCTTGAATTGCTCGCATGCGAGCTGGTGCTAGGAGTTCATCCCGCTTTCGAAACATCTAATTTAAAGAAGGGGGTCAATACATATATATATATATATTATATACATATATATATATTATATATATATATATATATGAATGAAACTCAACACAAATGATGGTAATAAAATAAAATTGTGAATGTTGTTATTTACGTACTTCATATTGTTCGTCAGTATAGCCCCGCTCACAGGTCGTGTGGCGGATGGACTCGCAAACGTAGTATCCACAGAAATCATTCCCTTGTTCCTGCCACAACCACTTTACAAGAAATAGAGGTCAATCAAACTGATAAGCAAGAATGCCAAATGGTATTGATGAAACTAGCGCTTGAATGACTAGTAGATGCGCGGAACATGCTACTATAGTACTTACTTTCGGGTGTCTAAATTGCAGCTCCTTCGGCAGTCCAGGAGCTTTTCTGGTGAATTTTCTCCAAACCCTGCCGGACAAAGAAAACAATTACTTGATATGTCAGGAAATGAACAAAGTTGCTGATATGGTGGATAATGATCGATTTAACTTACTTCTCAAGTATTTGAGTCATGTCTGCATAGTCCTGGGGATCTTTTCATCTTGAGTCTAAGACGGTTACTAGTCCCTGCTCAAGCTTAATCTCTAGGAGAATATAGTGGAAACTGCACACGCATGCATAACTCATCAATTACATTACTATAACCTTAACTAATATATAAGGGAAATCGAATACGCACAAGACAGTAACACTCACTTGAAGTTGTAAGGAAAGAGTATTATATCTTTGTTTTCATTTATTGCCAATGATCGTAGCAAGTTGGCCGCGGTAGCTGCGGCATGAAATTTAACCTGAGATGCATCTATGAGATATGTGTTAATGAACCCAATATCACCGACTTGTCTTTTCTTCAATTCGGCGATCTTCAATCTGCATAATATAGTGAGGATGATTATAAATACATGCAATGAAAGAGCTGAGCTATATAGAGAGACTTAATGACAGAAGTAGTACTACTTACAGACAGTAGCAGGCGACCGTTGTTTTATCGAGGGCCAATTGATTGAAAAACTGAAAGAACTCCTCAAATGGAACATGCAACAGTTCAATTCCAACGAGGTCATGCTCCTTTTTAACTTTCACATACAAAGTACTCCTCCCCCCAGAGTCTCTGCAGATTTTCAAGTACCAATCATGCAATCTTCGCATCATCGTTGATAGAGATCTTTCATCTTTGACGAGAGGCTTCCCGTACTCGTATCTTTGTATCTGCACCTCCATGAAATCATAATGTACATCGTCGGGCAGGAAATCGCCAAGATTGCTATAACCGGGCACCATCCTCGGATCATTAGCGACGTTGTCGCTAGGCACCTTGAGCGGGGGGCACGATTGCTTCGCTTGTTCGCCGAGCTGGGCAATTTGTTTCCCAGCTCGTCGTTC